GGCAGGTGTTGCCCATGATGCTGAAAATTCTGCCCTTTTGTCTTTTTTTTTTTTTTTTTTTTTTTTTTTTTGGACACTGTATTGTTGCTTCTGAAAGATTTCATCATTTTCTTTTAGATAATTATAGTGTCCACCTCTTGAGCAGTGTGATCATGCAGTTTCTGAATCTGGTGGATTCTTAGGATTGTGTTTCTGGGAGGAACAGAGAAGAGAGAAACTGGTGGTGTTAATGAGACAGACTGAAGCATGAGATTGAAGTAGTACTAACAGACATAGTGCTTGGTTATTTCAACTTCAACCTGCTTTGCTATGATTGTAGAAGGATTCGAACTCAGCTCCCTTTTCTTGCCAAGTCATCCCCCTTAGAACTGGCCACTAGAACTTCCTTGCATGTAAAATGCCCTTACTGAAGTCTTGTCTTTTTTTTTTTTTCTTTCTTTATGGAAAGCACATTAAAGATTGCATCCAGATATTTTGCAGTAGCAAATGTAAATTTTCCAGCCACAGGAATTCAGCCTATTAAAATGCCTGGGTTGATTTTTTTAAGATTTATTTATTTATTTATTGAAAGGTAGAGTTGCAGAGGCAGAGAGAGAGGGGTCTTCTAACCACTGATTTACCCCCCAAATGGCCACAACTACTGGAGCTGGGCTGATACAAAACCAGGAGCCAGGAGCTTCCTCCAGGTCTCCCATATGGGTGCAGGGGCCCAAGGACTTGGGCCATCTTCCACTGCTTTCCCAGGCCACAGCACAGAGCTGGATCAGAAGTAGAGCAGCCAGAACTCAAACTGGTGCCCACATGGGATGCTTTACCTGCTACGCCTCAGCACCGGCCCCTGGATTGATTTTAAAAACCTCAACAGAAGTCATTTTCAACGTAGAAATGTGTTGGCGAATGTGTGCTACACAGTACCCGGTAAACTTCAGGAATGAGAGCGCCCCCTCTTCTTGGAATTGCTCTGTTACTGTGGCTATGCTGGTTTCCAAAAACAGCACTAGTGAGGTGAATGAATCACATGGGTAATTTCTACTGATGATGAAAACACTGAAGCTTATGCTGATTTAGTTAAAAAGAGGAGAGAATTGAAATTGCACTTGTAACGCCGCCATCATTCAGGTTTCTGCCTTCACAGAGGAAAGGCAAAAGGGTCAGTGTTGGCACCATGAATGTCTGAGCCAGTATGAGTCAGTAAGAGGAAACTCCTTTTCTTAAAAAAAAAAATTCATTTTGTTTCAAAGGCAGAGACAGCACAGATCTTTGTCCATTGATTCCCCATATATTCACAACAGCTGATGTTGGGCCAGGCCAAAGCCAAGAGCTGGGAACTCAATACAGATCTCTAGCAGGGATCTGCTGCCTCCCAGGGTGGGCATCAGTAGGAAGCTGGAGCTGGAAATGGAGCCAGGACTGCAATCCAGGCACTTGGAAATGGGATGCCGGTGTCCCAAGTCTAACCCATTCCTTTTGGTAACAGTCATCCTCTCTATCCAGGGTTTCACTCTCTGTGTTGCCTGCTGGTAAACTGTGGCCACAAAATATTAAATGGAAAGTTCCAGAACTAATTCAAAAGTTTTAAATGACTTAAAAATGCTTTGCATTGTAATCGACAATAATGGCACCAATTTGTGAGGTGTATGGTATGATAATCCGATACACATATACAAAGTGTATGATGACTGAATCGGGGTCATTAGCATTTTCATCTTACAAATGTTATTACACTATATTGTTAGGAGTGTTCTCTTTTGTTATTGTCAATTTCTCACTATGCCTAATGTATAAATTAAGCTTTTATAACTATGTATGCACAGGGGAAAACATGGTATCTGTAGGGTTTGGTACCCACTATAGTTTCAGGCCTCGATGAGGGGGTGTCTGGGAATGTGTCCTGGCAGGAAGTGGGACACCTGTCCCATTGGCAGTTGTGATGTTATTGGGGGGCATTGTTGAGCATTCCTTTCCCCAAGGTTTTTGTTTTGTTTTACCCAAATCTGGACCTACCCATGGTGTCTGCACATGAAAATATTACATACGTGTCCACTGACGCAACAGAACTCAAAGCAGCAAAAGTCACTGCTCCGAGTGATGCTGTCAAAGTGGAATCCAGCAGAGCCCAGCTGATTCCCTCCAGTATGCAGGGACGTTTGCTAACTCTTCCTGCGTGGGGACTTTCTCCCTGGGATCCTGGGAGAGACAGCAGGGCGGAGAATACATGTGTGGGCTCCCCGCTGAGCCAGTTTAGGTGTTCTCCCCTCTTCCTTCCGGCCCTTAAGGGCGCAGAGCATGGCCCTGGCCTCTCTGAGTTGCCTCATCCATCACAAGCGAGACAAGTCCTGGTTAAACGTCAGACTCCTTTTCCCAGGCCCAGGAGATCCAAATGAATGGCAAGGAAATGAACTCAGGTGTGACATGGCCAGAGGCTTGGAACCCTGGCCCAGTGCATCCCACATAATTGGGTTACTCTTAAAAACAGCGGCAACCACAAAACTTCGAGCCAAGGTGCCATTAAAAACCCTTACATAATTGTAGCGGGTTTGGGTTTCCTCTGGTTCAAGTTTTCTTGCCTCTTTGATAATCAGACGATCTGAAGAAAAGCATAGAATTTCAGGGGGAATCTGCATGACAGGCTTACAATGAACCCATTCAGGAGGCGCCTTTCATGAGCTTAAACAGGATCTGCTCCATTCTGCGTCCCTGGCTTTGCTACAAGGCTCCATTTAAACTTAACCCAACTTGCAGACTTAACTGATCCAGGAAGGACTCAATGCAACCAGCCAGTTACTGTAGCTCCTTTTCCCCCCTGCTGATAAGGGGCCTGTGCACAAAGGGCTTTAACAGTTCTTAAATGACTCCATTTTCTCTGCTGTCTTTCAGATGTGCTGCTTACATGACCTTTTGTTCTTAATAAAATTTCACATGGTTTGATTATGTTTTTTGAAAGTATAAACAAACACAACATTGACTAACTTTAGAGTGAAACTTTAAAAAATCTCGTAGATGGTACAGAAGTGAAAATCATACATCATATTGTTACGGTTGACTTTGATATAGTGTATTATTATTAACTGTAGATCTTGTTCAACCTGAAAATATGAGGCTTTTGAAAGTTCTTGAAAATGGAATCAAAAGGGTATTTGCACCCTTATTTTGGTGCAAAAAGTTTTGAAAGACATGCAGGATTTTTTTTTTTTTTTTGCAATTTGCATTTTCCCTGGACATTTTGAAGACCCCTGGTATTTCTTTAATTTTGAGGTATGCTTCTGACAATTCTAGTAGTACTTCAGCATTGCGCTCCCAGTTTACGCACTTCTGGTCATTTTTACTACCTTATATGTCAATCTATCTAGCATTTCAGTAAAATTGGCCAGGTGGTGAGGGACTGTGAGAGAACCGTACTGCTAATATGAGGGACTGCCAAAAGTTGATAGAAAAATGGAATTAAAAAATAAATTTATTTTGGTGCAAAAAATGGAAATCCATGTACAGTGTTTTCATAATTAATATGTTTCCATGAACTTTATCAAGTCCACCATACTACTTCTGTTCCCCTACTTCTGTTCCTACTTCTGTTCAGGGTGTACTTGGCTGACACAGAGTAGCTGGGGAGGAGGGAGCCCTGATCCTGGAACAGAGAGGGAAATGCTGGGTGATGTATCTGGTTGCCACCCCTCTGAGAGCTGTGAGCACCCACATTTTGCATCGACACCTCTGAATAGTGGCCCCCAGACTTTACTTGGAACAGGAATCACCGGGATGCCTGTTAAACATGGGGATGCCTGGACCTGGTCCCCAGAGACTGATTCAGTCAGTCTGGGGTGGGGGCCTGAGAATATGCATTTTAACCGTGATTAAGCTCGGGTGGTGATCTTACATGATGGGAGTCATTACCCAAAGGGACTGTGGGGAGACCATACTGCCTCCCCTGTAGCACCTGTTGCCCCCAAGTGAGCAGGGACCCACATCAGGTAGGAGGGACTCCTGGGCTCATCTCCAAAGGTGCAAAATGCAGGAGGCCCCAGCTCCCTCCTCCTGTTCCCCTCTGTTCCCAGGAGCCTGCCTGCCTCACCTGGGCTGGCTGGGGCTTGAGGATGCCTCTCCCTCCCACCCCAGCTGTGTAATTAGAATCTCTGAGGGTTGTTATCTGTAGTAATTAATCCAATTGCCCCCTCCCCAGCCCCATTAAAAGTAATTTTAGACTTTTAGAAGCACAGGGCTTTTCCAAAACAGGACTTCCAATTAGAAGTGGATTCTCGAGAGGCCTTTTGGGAATTACGGATGTAACGTGTTTGTTCATTTCACGAGGATGGAAATTTTCCTTGAAGATTGGTTGCTCGATGGTCAGAACAGATGGGAAAAAAAGTGCTGGTGATGGCTGTTGGTGTTCACAGCCGTTTGCCTGAGGAGCTGGTATGTGTTCTGTTGGCGGCATCCACCCCCGTGTGGTTGGCGAACTGGATAATTATGAGAATCTTCAGCTGCCAAGCTTTTTTATGATGAGAATTTTCAGACCCATACAAAACTGGAATGTATGACAAACTCCCATGCAGTCATCACTCACTGTCCAGTGTTGTCAAGAAGTTTCGCATTTTCAGCAGCTTTTTCTTTTTCTTTTTAAGATTTATTTGAGAGGCTGGTTCACTCCCCCAAATGTCCACAACAGCCGGAGCTGGGCTGATCCAAACCCAGGAGCCAAGAGCTTCTTCTGGGTCCCCCATGTGGGTGCAGGAGCCCAAGCACTTGGGCCAGCTTCCATTGCTTTCCTAGGCCATCAGCAGGGAGCTGAATTGGAAAGTGGAGCAGCCAGGACATGAACTGTCACCCATATGGGATGCCAGCACCACAGGTGGAGGCTTAACCTACTACACCCAAAGTAGCCTTTTCTTTTTGAGTTTTTCGGGACGTTTTCATATGGGATGAAGCCCCTTGAATGAATCGGACTTGTGCTGCTGTGCGTGGGGCCTGAGTGCGGTGACCGTAATACATTGTGTCCTCCTCAGGAATGTGTTCCAGAAAACCTCGACCTGAAGAGGAAGATTTTCGCTCAGTTAGACAGCATCGTCGACGACCGCGTGGTGCTGAGCAGTTCCAGCTCCTGCCTCCTGCCCTCCAAGCTGTTTACTGGCCTGGCGCACGTGAAGCAGTGCATCGTGGCCCACCCGGTGAGTGCTTCCCACCTACGGTTGCGCAAGTTGCAGCGAATCCACCGGCTGATGTTTCGACATGCCTCTCTGGTTCTTAGAGGTTTATTTATTTATTTGAGAGGTGAAGTTACAGAGAGATAAGGGGAGACAGAAAGAGAGAGGAAGAGAGCTTGTGAGAGAGCTCTTCCAATTGCTGGTTCACTGCCCAAAGAGCTGCAATGGCCGGGGGCTAGGGCTGGGCCAGGCCAAAGCCAGGAGCCAGGAGCCTGGAGCTTCTGGGTCTCCCACGTGGGTGCAGGGGACCAAGGACTTGGGCCATTCTCCGCTCCTTTCCCAGGAGCATTAGCAGGAAGCTGGATCAGAAATGGAGCAGCCAGGACTCGAACTGGCACCCTTATGGGATGTCAGGGTCGCAGATGGCTGCTTAACCCATGACACCACTACTCTGGGCCATCGAAATGCTTTATTGAGCTACAGTTCACATGCTGCACCATTTGCCAGCTGAAATTGTATGAGGGGACTTTAAAAATTTTGTGGGAAAATGACGTTAAAAGGTAAGTTTGGTTTTGGTGCAAAGAAAGTTTGGAAGCCCCTGTGTATAGTTTACTCAAAAAGTTCATAGACATGCATGTGATGAAAGGCACATGCTTGGTTTTAAAAAATCTATTCCTATTTGCCATGAATTTTCAAGAAAATTCATTTGAGGGGAAGGGGAGAGTAAGTGAGAGAGAGACAGAGAGGGATTCCAGCCACTGATTTACTCCCCAAATACCTACAATGACTGGGCTGGGGCTGAAGCTGGGAGACAGGAATGCAATCTGGGTCTTCTGCATGGGTGGCAGGGCTCCTACGTCTTGAGCCATCATTTGCTGCCTGCCATCGGCAGGAAGCTGGAGTCTGGAGCTGGGAATCAAACCCAAGTACTCGGATGTGGAATATGTGCCTTGACTGGTAGGTGAAGTGCCCACCCCTCCTTGAACTTTTTGAGGTGTCTCAATAGCTATAGTACATTTGCAAAGTTATATGATACCAGCATTTTACAGAAAGGACTTTGTCCCCAAATCTGTTGAATTCTGTTTATGTGCCTAATGCGTGACGGCCAGAAAAAGCCATGCTCTCAGGCTTTCACCCTTGGTCACTCACTGTGTAGCCAAGAGGGCTGACTACTAACATAATTCTACTCCCAAAGTCAAAGTGCTTTATTCGAAATGCATACACTGAGTAGGGTGTTGTGGAGCTGTCGCTTTGATTGCGTAGCTTTGAGTGGGGTCAGTCTTTCTAATGTGCCAACTTCGAGGTCTACTCCCAAGATTCTGATCCAGGAGGTCTGATTTGAAGCCCTCCCTCCCCTGTTTCCCCATTCCATCCCAACGTTGTGTTAACTTGGCAAGGTTATTCATCAGGATCACTATCTGAGGCACCCTGGACAACGGGTTCCCAATTGGCCTGCAAGTACTTGGTGAATCTTCTTGAGGTGAATGTATCAATGTGAGGAATGGGTAACAAGAGTGGGGATTTGAGCTCTGACTGTGAGCTCAGCCTTTGACCTAGGGGAACCTGGATAGCCTGTTAGGAACAGAAGGCTAACAGGTCTATCCATGCCAAAGACGATGTGTATAATGCTGGCCACACCCTTGGCACAGCCGGGTCATCACAGGACAAGGTTGGTGAGAAGCCACACAGAGGAGTGGGGCCAGCTTGGGTAGGATCTGGTTGGCCTGATGAAGGGGAAGGTGTTTGGGGAAGGGCACAGCAGAGACCTGGGAGTCCGGACAGGCACGAGCGTGGAGGATCCTGAGGAGGCTGTGGCTGGAAGAATACAGGTGCTCAACTTGAGGAGCAGGAGGAGGAAGTTGGAGGCTCAGTCACACAACAGGCTGAGTATCCACGATGCTGGGGAGCAGAGGAGTTTCAGAGTTTGGAATATTTGTGTGGAGTTTTCTGCTTGAGCGCCCCTAATGGGAAGATCTGAAATCGGAGGTTCTCCAAAAACCTGAAGCTTTCTTTCTTTTTTTTTCTTAAAAGATTTATTGGGGCCGGTGCTGTAGCATAGCAGGCAAAGCTGCTGCCTGCAGTGCCAGCATCCCATATGGAATCAGTGTGAGTCCCGGCTGCTGCACTTCTGATCCAGCTCTCTGCTGTGGCCTGGGAAAGCAGTGGAAGATGGCCCAAGTCCTTGGGCCTCTGCACCCATGTGGGAGACCCAGAAGAAGCTCCTGGCTTCAGATCAGCCCAGCTCTGGCCATTGTGGCCATTTGGGGAGTGAATGGAAGATCTCTCTCTCTCTCTTTCTCTCTGCCTCTCTGTATCTCTGCCTTTCAAATAAATAAAAAAACTTTTTTGAAAAAATTTATTTGAAAGGCAGAGATGCAGAGAGAGAAGAGGTAGGGGGAGCAAGAGAGAGAGAACTCCATCTACTGGTTTACTTCCCAGATGGCTTCCAGCACTGGGCCAGGCCAAAGCCAGGAGCCAGGAGCTGCTTCTGGGTCTCCTACAGGGGTGCAAGGACCCAAGCACTTGGGCCATCTGCTGCTGCTTTCTCAGGTGCATTAGCAGAGAGCTAGAATGAAAGTAGAGTAGCCAGGACTTGAACCAGCTCCCATATGGGATGCCGGTATTGCAGGTGGAGGCTTAACCTGCTGTACCACAACGTTGACTCCAGCCTGAATTTTCTGAGCATTACGTTGGTACTCAGCAAGTCCAGTATTTCAGAACCCAAGCTGTGGTTGTGCAGAATCAAGAAAATCACCATGAGGAATGGAGATCGGCTCAGACATAGAACAGCAGCCTGAGGCACTGGAAGTGCTGCTTTGGGAGGGCGACAGGGAGCCTTTCTCTAGGGAAGGCAGGGCCCAGAGGGGAGCAGTGGCTGCACAGGACGAGGCCTGGGATTGTGGGCACTGGATTCCTCTTTTGGAGCAGGAGCGGTTGAGCGTGGGGAGGTGGAGGAAAAGGGCAGGGCGTGGAGGCCTGCAGGTGTTGCACGTACACAGCTGCCTGTTTCTGGGTGTGGCCACATGTGGACAATCAGTGGAAAGAGTGCGGAATGGTTACGAAGTCCACGGAGACTGGGACCGGTGGCATGTTGGAAAGGAGCAGCCACAGTCAGTGCTCTGAGAGCCGAGAGGGGTCTGTGCTGAATGCACCTGGATATCAAGTCCATGAAACCTGTTGTCTGTTTCTGTGACATCCGTGAGGGTACTTCAAAAATTTCATGAGAAAATGGAATTAAAATATGAGTTAGGGGGCCCAGCACTATGGTGCAGTAGGTTAAGCATCTGCCTGGGGTGTCGCCATCCCATGCAGGCACTGGTTCGAGTCCTGGCTGCTCCACTTCGGATCCAGCTCTCTGCTGTGGCCTGGGAAAGCAGTAGCGGATGGCCCAAGTCATTGGGCCCTTGTACCCGTATAGGAAACCTGTATGAAGCTCCTGGCTCTTGGCTTCAGATCAACACAGCTCTGGCCATTGTGGCCATTTGGGGAGTAAACCAGCAGATGGAAGACCTCTCTCTGTCTGTAATTCTGCCTCTCAAGTAAATAAATATTTATTTTTTTAAAGACAAGTTGGCTTTGGTGCAAAATTCCTTTCTCCACACATGGTTTCCATAGACTTTGAAGTACTCTTGTGTGTGTGCACAGGAAGCACTGTTAGAAATTGAGGGTGTCAGTCTGTTGCTTAAACTTCTAGGTTTTTTTTTTTTTTTTTAAAGATGTATTTATTTACTTGAAATTTAGTTACACACAGAGAGAGAGAGAGGTCTTCCATCCACTGGTTCACTCCCCAGATAGCCGCAACGGCCAGAGCTGCGCTGATCTGAAGCCAGGAACCAGGAGCTTCTTCCGGGTCTCCCCCAAGGACTTGGGCCATCTTCTGCTTTCCCAGACCACAGCAGAGAGCTAGATTGGAAGTGGAGCAGCCGGGGCTTGAACCGGCGCCCATGTGGGATGCCGGTACTCAGGCAGCATCCTTAACCACTACACCACAGCACCGGCCCCAGACTTTCAGGTTCCAACCAGTGTTTTCACTTTTAAATTAACAATAACAAGAAAACCTAAATGAAATTATTCAAAAGATACCCTCTAAGTTCTTTGCAAAGACTTGGGCCATGTCCCTGGGATTCTGAACCACCTGATAGGGCAAGGCTACAACTGGCTCACTTTCCTCCTGGCCACAGCCAACAGAGAGCTTTCTCTCCCTATATCCACGCTCATCCCATCCCAGCATCCCTTGCTTCTAATTACTTGACCAAAGACCAACACCATGGTTCCAGGAAGTCCAAACCTTATCTTGAAAATGAGTCTCTCTTAGTTGTCATCAAAGAAGGAAGTACTTCCCTCTGAGGGGAAGAGAGAACTTCCACTTTGCTTATGGCCTTTTTTAAATACTGAAGGTTTTTGTGGATTCAAAAGGCTTCCATAACCTTGGCAGCTCATGTCAAGAGCCTCAGGTGATCACTGATGTCATACATAAGAGTGCTAATTGTTAAATTAACAACAGGAGTCACTGTGCACTAACTTCCCATGCAGAACTCAGTCCTCAAAGAATTGTAATGTGAGAGTTAATAGTAAAACTTGTTCTCAAAGATTTATTTCAATTTAGTGTATTAACTGGAGGATATTCTTACATCTTATAAGTTTTAGGTAAGCTTAAGTGCCCAACTCCATTTCTTGTTTCCTTAGGTGCTTCTTTAATTAATGATAAAACTTGTTCTCAAAGAAAAAAAGTATAGTATTGCAAAAATTAAAAGAAAAATAAGGAAATAGGAGGAAGTATGGGAGTGAGGGAGAATGGAGTGCGAAGTGTCATTATGTTCTTAAAAGTGTTGGTATCAGATACATGAAATTAGCTCCCTTTATATAAAAAAATTAAAAATAGTTAATTAAAAATACATATGATAAAATTAATCTCTCGTTACCTTTGTGAAATATTTGTAACCAAAACTGGTGTTGACTAGAGCCAATCAAACAGCTGAAGTTAACTGTCTTCGTGGTTTTAATCCCTCCTTTCTTCTGCTCTC